GGGGCCAGGAGGTGGGAGGGGCGGAGGCGGGCTGAGCAGTTGAGGCGTAACTGTCTTTGCCACAGAGACTCCGGGAAGAGTCTGGAGACAGACTGGGAGGCCGGGCGGCTGGAGGGGACACTCCTGACCAAGCCCGTCCAGGGACAGGTCCTGGGTTGGGGCGAGGGCAGACGTGCTCCCGCAGGGAGGATGGCCTGGCCGCTCCTGGCTTCGGATCCAGGCCCCTCCTGACCTCTGGGCAGCGGGCAGGGGGCAGGTGGTGGTGGGCTCAGTCTCAGGGGCAGGCAGGGCTCTCACAGGACCCTCCCCAGGTGACAACACAGCGTTGTCACATATGTGGGCGAAAGGGGCCACGTGCTGACCGGACAAGCTGAGGGGAGGCCTGCATGGCCGTCTTGCAACCTCAGAGACCTAAAGTACCTACAAAGGATGGTCTGAAATTAAATTTAACTAAAAGCAGTGATGGTGGGCAGTCACCTCCTAGGCCAGGATCTTCACTGACAAGATCAACCTTTACCTTAAATGAGCCTGTCTGTCTTTTCACATCTATGACAACATACCCTTGAAATGTCTGGGTAACTTGTAACTTCCCTTTTTCTGGATCCAACCTAATGTGCTGGGCACCAGGACAGAGACCACCAATTCCGTCATTATCATGTTAATTGTTCCTGCACCCACCTAAGTATGTGTCCATCATTTTACTTTTTATCCAATCCCAGGGGTTTCCCTGCTTTGCTTTATCCCTCCTCCTTAATCTATCGCCAATGAATTTCATGGAACCCACCTACATCCCTCCTTTGATCACAATGTATAAATACAAATGTAACCCCGCCATTCTCCCGAGCATTATCTCAATTTGTTGAGGTTCTGCTTCCCGGCATATGTCGACAGTTTGGCTCCGATAAACTCACAAAAATTCTTTACAGGTTTCAATGGTTTTTTTAAGATAACACAGACATTTGCTTTATTGAACTCCATTGTACACACATGTGCGTGTAGCAGCTGGGAAAGGGGGGAGGGCCTCAGTCTTAGGGCAGGTGATAGGAATCCCTCTAGCGGTGAGACACTCCAGTGGTGATAATCACGACCGTGATGATGATCCCAAGTGTGACAAGGAGGCCCAGGACCACGGCCCAGATGTTCAGGCACTTGGCGGTGGACGCATAGCTCTGGGCCCCAATCACGTCTCCCACCATCTTGCGGTCCCTAGACTGGGGGAGAAGAGATGGTGAGGGGTGTGGACGGGCCCTGGGGACAGCCGGGTGCTGTGACTCAGGCCCGGCTCTGGCTGCTCCCTGCCCAGACCAGCCTCCACCTGCCCTCAGCCAGGTCAGCGACCCCCTCCCTGTTCCCTGGAGCCTGAGCAGGACAGGCCAGGGGGGCCTCCCTCCCAGCCTCTCAGCCTCTCCAGGGCCTCAGGGCTCCTCTCCCCCTGCCCTGGCCCCTTTGCTGGCCTCTCCCCCACCAGGGCTCAGGGTTTTCTGAGAACTTTTGTTATCAGTCAGAGGAGTGTAATTTCTGGCTGATCAACAGGATATTCCTTGGAGTCCAGGGGACAAAGGCTGACCCTGCCGTCCCCAGGCAGCCTCAGCGTGACCCGCACACACACACACACACACACACACACACACACACACACGGGCTCCTCAATCCCAAGGGTCATCTGGGCAGCACACCTGTGGGGGCGGACACGCCTTCCGTGTAACCCCCTCCTGCCCCCCACGCACCCACCTTCACGGAGAAGGCGAACGCCACGAAGCCCAGGCAGCATGTGTTGAAGAAGAGGGTGTTGAACAGGGACCAGACGATGTGGTCGGGCACCACCGTGTCAGTCTGGATGTTGATCACCGTCGTCCCCGCTGCCATCGAGTTCTGGGGACCCCCCAGCACAGACACCTCGTGTTCCTCCTTGAGCACCTCATTGGATGGATACACTCCGGCGCGGGCGCCAGGGACGAAGGGCTGGGAGTTGTGGTTCATGGTGTGGAGCGGAGCAGATGGCCTGAGGATGCGGATCCCAGGATAACGGGGCCTCAGTGGTGCTTTCTTTTTCTGGTTGTTTCGTTTTCCCCAAAGTTGAGTTTGGCTGTGTTCCTGTTGGGCGTCCCTGCTAAGGGAGTGTCAGGTTGCACTGAAGCCCAGCAGAGAGAGGCCAAGCCCTGGGGTGGGGTGGGGAGTCGAAAGGGGGGGGCTTCCTGTCCCGGTCACTCCAGTCTGGCCTGTCAGCTACCCCAGGTCCTCATTAGGGTGTGATGGGCCCGGGGTGTGTCTCACCCCCTGAAGGGGATGTTAAGGTAAAAACATTCACCTGTAAAGAATTTAGTGCGTGTATTTGAGCCAAACTGTGGACCTAAGATGCCTGGAAGTACCTGCAGGGCCTGCGGGTCGGGCTGGAGGTGTCTGCAGTCCACAGGGCCCCGGGGGGTTGCGGGGTGTGGCTTGGAATGGGGAGTTCATACCTTGTTTTTATAAATTACCATCGAAAGGAAAAACCTTAAGTGGGTAACATGAAATTCATGGTGCAGCTCCGTGGGGGTCGGGTGCCGCCTGGGCTGTGGCACGTGCCTCTGAGACCGCCCCTGGGGTGCAGCAGCACAGGCGCACCCACCG